GGGGGCTCAAAGGCAATAAGATTTCACGGTAAGACTCTGGGTCCTGGAGTTTGGCTGGTGGGATCCAAACCTCTGATCTGCTGCCATGTGCATTGCACCCTTGGGCAAGTGGCTTGGCCTCTCTGAGCCTCACTTTCCCCCTTTGTAAAATGGGCACATACTCCCAGTGTGGGGAAGATAAATGGGAAAGTCCCTTCAAAGTGCTGTGCCGGCACCTGGCGTCAGCTTGTGCTGTTGTGAAGACTGTTGTAATTCCTTTATGTTCTCAAACTGCACCCAGCTCTGGATCTAGTAAGTCTTTTTAACGGAGACTCCCCCCAGTCAGAGATCCCTTCCTTCCTCCCTCCCTTACATTTGCTTACTTTGAGAGAGAAAGAGAGAGCACAAGTGCACTGAGCAGGGGAAGGTTAGAGAGAGGGGGGGAGAGAGAGAGAGGCTCCATGCTCAGCTCAGAGCCTGACGCGGGGATCGATCCCGTGAGTGGGAGATCACGACCCGAGCCCGTATAAAGAGTCAGGTGCTTAACTAACCGAGCCACCCAAGCTGCGCGGAGAGACACTTCCCGTCCCAGCTCGGTATGTGTGGATGTGGAAGAAAGAAACCCAGAACTGTTCCGCGAAACCCTGTCCGGTATGGCCCGTCCCCTCATGGAAGGAAATCCTAGCAGGCAGGTCTCGCCTGTCAAGTTCACGTCGTGGCCACCGCGCTGACGGTGCCTCTCCGAGTGCCCCACGGCTCACCTGCGCCGGCGCCACCCGGCTTCTTCCCCACGACTTCCTCAGGGTCCGCCGTTGACTCTGCTGCTCATTCTAGCTTTTGAAACCTGGCCCTCGGACCGGGTCCATCGGGTCGATGGCCATGACCTCCCCTGGTTGAACCGTACAGCCGGGGCCCAAGGCATGCCTGGGCTTGGAGGCTGCTCCTGGGTTCAAATCCAAGCTGTGCCGTAGGGGACCTAGGGCCGGGGTCCCGCCCCGAGCCCCCCAACAACGGCGGAGAGCGGCAGCCCCTCGTCCCCAGATCCGGAGCCTGGTGGCCCACGTCTACGATGCACACCTCTCGGGAGTTTGCAGTGAACTCAGGGGGTGGCAAGACCAGACCTATGTGGTTGTGCACCCCCTTTGTTGGGAGTCCCTCTGCGTGTTCTGGAGCCGAACTGTTAGAGCATTTGGGGACAGGCCGTTAGCCGGCCTATAGGGTGTGCACTGTGCCGAAATCTGGAAAATTCTCAGGTCTGAAACACATCTGACTTCATCTTACGTTTCAGCTAAGGGAGCCCAGGCTGTGGGCCTCTCCTGAGGATGGAGGGAGGGGGTCTCACATGCACGTAGCTCAGGTCACCGGCAGCTCTCAGAGAGACAGACAGACAGACAGACAGACAGACTCTCTCTCTTCCTGGGGGACTGTGGAGGTCTGGGCAGGGTCTGCCCTGGGGTCACAGAGGAGGAGACAGATTCTCTTCTGCCTGGTGGCCGCTCACCTTGCCCTGTGCCCCCAGAGATGACCAAGAGGGACGTGCCAGGCTTTGCCATCGGGGGCCTGAGCGGGGGCGAGAGCAAGGGCCAGTTCTGGAGGATGGTGGCTCTGAGCACGTCGAGGCTGCCTAAGGACAAGCCACGATACCTGATGGGGGTCGGGTACGTGCCCCCGAGGGGAGAGAGCCCTGCCTGTGGGGGGCGAGTTCCTGCCTGGGCCCTTCTGTTGGTGGAATGACTGTGGGGGTCACTGAAGGGGGATCCTGGCCTTCCTCTGGGGGCGGTTCCGAGGGAGTGTGGCCCTGTCCTGGGGGAGTCTGCGTGTCTGTGTGGGGGGAGACCTGGGTGTGCGACAGGGGCGTGAGGTTCTCTGCTCCCTCCCCCGTGGCCCTCCCCCCCCCAGCTACGCCACTGATCTGGTGGTCTGCGTGGCTCTCGGATGTGACATGTTCGACTGCGTCTTCCCCACGCGGACGGCGGTGAGGCCCTGGGCAGGGGGCAGATGGGGGGGGTGCGGCCTGGGGGGTTAAGGTGGGGGTGGGGCTGGCGAGGATGAAGACCTGGTTGACCCACGTTCCCCTCCTCTCCCCCCGTCCCTCCCCAGCGCTTTGGCTCTGCCTTGGTGCCCACCGGGAACCTGCAGCTGAAGAAGAAGCAGTATGAGAAGGACTTCCGGCCCATAGACCCCGAGTGTGCCTGTCCCACCTGCCAGAAGTAGGGGGAGGCGGGGGCCCTGGGGGCTGGGGAAGGAAGGGCGCAGAGGTGCCCAGGACCCTGCATCACTGAGCGCCGACCTCCCGTGTCCACAGGCACAGCCGGGCCTTCCTGCACGCACTGCTCCACAGCGACAACACCGCCGCCCTGCACCACCTCACTGTCCACAATATCGCCTACCAGGTGGGCCTGCGGCCCCTCGGTGCAGGGTGGGGGTGGGAGGGTTCCGGCCCCTCCCTCTGGGCTGACGCTGCCACCTGCCCCCTGCAGCTTCGATTGATGAGTGCTGTGCGCGCCAGCATCGTGGAGAAGCGCTTCCCTGACTTCGTGCAGGACTTCATGGGCACCATGTACGGGGATCCGACCCTCTGTCCCGCCTGGGCCACCGAGGCCCTGGCCTCCGTGGGAATCACGCTGCGTTGATCTGGTCCAGGCGACGGAGGGAGGGAATGGGAGGCATTGAAGGGTTTTTTAAAATTATTCTAATTTAGAGTGTATCTGTGCCTTCTCGGAGAGGTGACCTGTCTAGGACCTCCTCTGAGTGTAACTGTGGCCAATGTCCCCCGCCCTGCTTCCTGTTGATGATAAGTAATCATAGCAGCTGCTGATCCCTGGGAACCACCTGGCACAGCCCCCAGCATGTAGCATGTGCCCGGGTGTGGGGGCTGCTTCCTTTTTCCTGTGGCTTTGCTCCTCCCCCCCCCACCCTGAGGGTGGGCACTCTCCTTCCCCGACTTATGACAGGTGAGGAAACAAGCCTAGAGAGGAAGTAGCTTGTCCAGGGTCACCACTGAGGAAGTAGCAGGCTGGCTTCAGAGCTCATGCTCTTAGCCTTGAACATGGCTTAATTTTGCTGTCAGCCAACACAATGATGACACAGGGTGTGACATAGCGGGTACTTTCGCTGTGTCTGGGACTGTTCTAAGTGGTTGTCGCGCGCGTGTGTGTTTAATTCCTGCAACTTTATATGATGCATGTACAGTCGCATTCCCCCGTTTTACAGATGAGGAGACTGAGGTTCAGAGGAACGAAGTCATTTGGCCGTTATCACCCGGCAAATACGTAGGCCCGTGATCTAACCCAGAGATGGCCAGTTACAGAGCTGGTGCCCTTAGAAGATGAGGAGTTTTAAATTGAAAAAGTAATACTTGTGTAGGATCCACTGTTCCAGTAGCATAAAAATGCAACTACTTTGATTAGTTTGTGTATTCTTCCAGAAGTTTTCCACGTGTACATATTTTTCATGAAATGTGGCATCCGTTACCTGCCGTTCTGTACCTTTTTTTCCCCTTGTTAGTATATTTGAAATTGTTTACACGTCAAAACATGGACTTTCTGTCTTTTTTACAGCTGTCGCACACTATTTATTTAAGCGGCTCCGTGAATGAGCATGTAGGGTGTTTCCAGGTTTCTGTCACTGTGGTCAAGCCTGCGATGCAAAAACCTAGTTGGTTGACTTTTTGCCCATCTCTCTGAGACCGGGGTTTTGGGTCTTGGTGGGCAGATGCCACTGGCCACTCTGCTGTCCTCCTCGCCACGGTTTCTCCATTCCTCTGTTAACTGCCCCACCAGCCCGCTTCCCTACCTCCATTCCATCCGACTCCTTCTGGGCTTCTTCTCTTGGCCAATCTTGGCCGCCTGGGGGATCAGATCACTTCTTTTAATAAAATCCCTCCACCTATCCCCAGCTTTTTTCCCCACGAGGAACAGGATTTCTGGTTCACAGAACCTCCATCAGTGACTGGAAGAGACTATCTCACGGGGAGGGGATCCGTTGAATTTCATCGCGTACTCACAAAGATGCGCTCTAGTTGAAGAGGCAAGGGAGCAACGTGGATTTGGCCTTAGCCAAATCAAGTCGGGGCGTGAGCGAAAGGTGTTCCTAGGAAAGGGGACAGCTCTTGCAAAAGCGTGGACGTGGGGCTTCATACAAACGAAAGCTGAGCCGACGCTGCGGCGCTAGACCGCCTCTCCCTAGAAACCACTGACGCCAGACTCTCCAAAACGCATTGAAACCCCGCGCGAATGGCCGGTTTGCGAGCCCGGGCCGAGATGCATCCTGGGACTTGTAGTTTTCTCGAGTGGCCGGAAACTCTGAAGCGACGATCATCACCAGGTCCCACCACGAGGTGTCGCTCTTCGGCGAGTACGGCGGACCTTATCCTTTACTCCAGAAGACACTAACAGACCTACTACAACAATCTTTAGAACGGGAGATTCTTTGATTGGCAGATAGGTTCTCAATCAAAGTCAGGATTCGCAGGTCAAAGCCCGTCCTCTTTCGCTTTGTTGGCTGGAGGAACGGAGTGATATTTATACAAACCAATGGGAAATTCTTAGGGAACTAGGTAGTGTCAAGCGACAAACCGGAGTTTATGAATCGATCCCTAACGTCATTGGCCAGCACTGTAGACTGGCGGGTCTTCCTGCCAGTAAGACTTGGGTTTTCTTGCCGTTCGGAAACTCCCCCCCCAGTAGGCCGAGCCAACACTGCCTTTTCCCGAAACACCGCCTCCTGGCCTTGACAACTCGCTGCCCGACGCTATTGGCTCTTGCGCAAAAACGACAGTTCTTGAGTCCAATGAGTCCACGGCGAGGTCCCCCGGGAGGCGGGATCATTCAGCCGTAGCCCCCATGCCTCGCTTTCATTGGCTTCTGCCTGCGAGTGGCAGCGCGGCCGGCCAATTGGGGGAAGTGCGAGGGCTTTGGGCGCAGCCCCGGGGCCCGGGCGGGAGGTCGCTCGGGTCGGGTGTCGTCTGAGAACCGGATGAGGCGGCGACCGTGAGGCCGAGCCGGGAGCGGGCGTCGCGCCGAGGCCCGGGCGGGCGGGGAGCAACGGCCGCGGACGCCGCGGGGCCGCGTCGTTAAGGGCCGGGGGCAGGCGGGGAGCGCGGGGCGCTCAGGCCGGGGCCGCCGGCGCCATGGGCAACCGCGGGATGGAGGAGCTGATCCCGCTGGTCAACAAGCTGCAGGACGCTTTCAGCTCCATCGGCCAGAGCTGCCACCTGGACCTGCCGCAGATCGCCGTGGTGGGCGGCCAGAGCGCCGGCAAGAGCTCGGTGCTCGAGAACTTCGTAGGCCGGTGAGCGAGCGCGGCGGCGGCGGCGGCGGCGGCGGGCGGGCGGCGGCCTAGGGCGCGGAGGGCGGACCGGGAATGGCGCGCCCAGCGCAGCCGGCGTAACTGCGGCGCTTGCGTGCCCGCGACGGGGACCGGGACAGGGAGGCGGGCTCTGTGGGACGCCCTGGGCGGAGGGCTTCCTGCAGGGGCCGCGGGGGCGGCTCGGGCCCTTGGGGGAGTTTCGGCGACTGGGGGGGCGTGGGCCAGGAAGTGCGGTGGACCGTCGCGGACTCTCAGATCCCCAGCTTTCATGGCTGAATTCTACCATCTGGTTGCCTGTGGGTCAGGGTTAGGTCCCCCTTCTCTCGCGCTCTGTCCGAAACCCGCCAGCTAGATACCTATTGGTTCGACCCCTGTGGTCTGGCTGGCTGTTCGTGTATCTGGAGCAGTCCATGCCGTCTGGTTGGCTTTCTCTGCCCTCGATAGGACTCCTTGCCACTACCATTTGGCTGTCCATCTGTCCAGTCCCTCAGGGCCGTCCCTGCTGCCTGGCTAGCTGTCTGGGGTGACCTGTGCTGTCTGGCCGCCTGTCCGTGCCGCTCACAGACTTAGCCATCCCTCTGTTGGGTGACCCTGGCTGGCTTCTGCCGTCTGACTGGCCGGCTGGACCCTAGGGGGCTCTGTTATCTGGTTCTCCTAGGCTGATTCTAAAGCTTGGCCCCTGGCAAACGCTGGCTTCTCTCCCAAATGGACCCCTTCTTCTGTCCGTCTGGGTGTCCGTCCTTATGTTCGTCTGCCCATTAGTGCCCTGGCAGCGCCCCCACTGCCTGGCTCCATATTTGTAGCCGGGAGTGGGGTGGGGTGGGGGCCTGCTGGGAACAAGGCAGCTGAAGGATGAAACTTGAACTCCCCTATCAGTTGAAAGTTTGGACCCTGGGAGGGGGTACTTCCTGCAGGATTCTTTCCTGGCCCCTATCAGGGTGCTCTTGGGGCCAGCTCCCAAGCAAAAGCCTGCAAATAGGGGGGGCCCTCTTTGGCGCCTGATCAGGCCTTTGGGCAGTCCCGAGAAGCCTCAGTATGCCCATCTAACCAGTGGGCAAACTCCACTCTTTGGGCTGTTACCAGGATTCAGGAAGCCGACGATGAACGAGAAGTGACAGTGAGGCCTCACGGGGTGTTTAGTTCTTTCTTCTCCCTTCCCCTCCTCCTCGTGCCCTTCTGCCTCCCAGATGGGCTGTCACTTCTCCATTCTGGGAACGGCTCCATTTGTGCCCGTGGCTGCCAAATGATAACGCCCCAGTCACATCATCATCATCATCATCATCATCATCATCATCATCATCATCATCGTTGTCGTTGTTACGGGCACTCAGGGTTAATGTTCTGCTCGCAGGCTCCGGGCTGATCTCAGATCCCACGGGGTTGTGAGAGGGGTGGGTATTGTGTTACCCCACCTTAGACATGAGCAGGAAGGCTCAGAGAGGACATCCTTGGCCCAAGGGCGCCGGGCAAGCGCTCAGTGGTGCCAGCCCCACCCTGCCTTCCCAGAGGCCTGGAGGTGTGCTCTCGGCGGCACGAATTTCCTCCTTTGCTGGTTTGTCTCTGGCACCCTGCCTGTTGTCCAGTGCGGCGGAAAGGTGTGGACCCGGGGTCAGCCGGGCCTGGGCCGAGCCTCAGGCCGGGCTGTGGGCCCCTTTACATGGTCTTCTTCCTGCCCGGCCGGGCTTCCAGTGGACACACAGCAACATTCTGTCCGTTTCATTTGCCTTGTGATCTCCTTGCACACGTTGTTTGGCCTCTCTGAGCCTCAGTTTCCCCCTGCTGAAAAGAGGGTGATGGTCCCTGAGCAAGCCTTGCCATTCTCAGTGACCTGATGTGTTGAGAGTGCTTACTTAGCACGGTGCCCGGTGCACGGTAGGTCAGCACGGCTGGGCAGCTGTTCGCCACGCTGGCCCCTCCCGCGTCAGCAGCAAAAACTAATCAGAATTAAAGTGCTTTCAAGTTATACGCTGGACTGCATTTCAGCCTTCTGAGGCTGACGCTGCTGTGGTCCCATTTTATAGAGCAGAAAACTGAGGCTCAGCTGAGCCCTCCTGCTCAGAGCTGTTCAGTGAGGAACTGGGGGCTCTGGGTTGGGGACCCTGGGTCTCTCCCCTGCCCACCGCTCCTCAGTGTCTCTGCCCCTTGCCTTTCTCTCTTACTGCCCTCCCTGCCCACCCCCACCCAGTCATCGCCTACTGAGCTGGCTCTGTGGCAACCTCCTCCCAGAAGCCTGCAATGTGACCTTGATCGTTAAGAGCGTTAGTTCAGGGCCTGAGAGCCAAAGTTGTCCAAAAGCTTCTCGGGTATGGGTTGCTCAAATAGAGCTAACTTCTTTTTCTTTCTGGAGTGTGGGTAAGGTTTCTAGGCTACAAAGCCTTGCCGTGGGGGGCCGGCAGGCCGGCCCTGGCTTTGAATCCCACTCCTTCCCTTGTGAGTTTGGCCAGACTGTTGCAGCTCAGGACCCGTTTCCTTCTTTGCGCTGGAGACCTTTACAGTTGACGTCTTGGCTACTTTCAAGGAACAAATGAGAGAATATGACCAGGGCCTGTTCAGGGGCTGGGGGTGGGGGGTCAGCACGGGCCGCTCAGTTTCGTTCCCTCCTCCGTGTTGGTTTTCTAAGGCTGCGGTCCAAGCGAGAGAATGTGCAGCTAGCTCAGCCTGGACAGGGGCTTGCAGATTGGTGGCCCGGCTTGCTGGCTTCTTGTTTCCCCTGCAGGGTGTTTAAAATACTTTGTTCTTAATTAGCCGCCAATATTCAAATTTTGCATCAGAATCCCGATTTTTGCAATGCTTAGCAAACACCCAGATTGCTTCAGGGTTTAGTGGTGTAGTGCGCAGGCTCTGGGCCTTAGGCCTGCCTTCAGTGTCTTTGCTTGTGCGACCTTGACCAAGTGGACTCAGGGTCCTTTTCCATAAAATGGGGTGATAACTAGACCCTGCCTGGGGGGACTGCGTGAGTTAACGTGTGTCAAGTGCATTGGCCCTATAACCCAGGGCAGCTGTCATTACAGCCACTGTATTCTGGCCTCGCTGGGCCTGAGCCTTGCTTGGCACCAGATGCCACTGGCCGCCACGTCAGATTAGGAGTGGCCACGTGCGTGCCACACTCCCCACTACTCCCTAGTAGTCGGCCTGGCCCATTTTACATTTGTCTGGAGACTTCCAGCCCTGGAAACTTTTTGAGTTTCAGACCCTTGTCTTGTCTGCCCTGTAACAGCACGTGGCCCTAAGGAGGGGTGAGGACGAGCCTCTCCGGTGACCCTGGCCCTTTAGCCTCTGCAGCTAAACGGAGAGAGGAACTTGGGGAAAGTTTTCCCCGGGAGAAGAACAGGCGGAAGCTGAAGTTGAGGCCTCCAGCTGATCAGGCTTGGGCTTGATCCTGTGAGCCTTTTCTCTCCGAGCCTCAGTATCCCCGGCTAGGAAATGGGGCTGTTAAACAGTGTCTCCTTAATAAGCCCCTTGCAGGCGACCAGTGGGTGTGTCTCACCTCTCAGGGCAGGTGAAGTTACCTGGTGCCAGTCCTTGAGGGTGGAGTGAGGACTAAATGGCTTGGAAGAGAGTCTAGCACAGGAAAAGGGCTTAAAGTGCTATGCGCAGTTTTTATTTGTTTGTTGAAAAATGTTGGTTACTCTGTGCCCTTGCCTGGGGCCCTGTTCTGAGGCTGCAGACACAGCCCAAGCAAGGCCCTGGGGAGCTGGCCTTCCAGCAGGGGGCAGATAAGGAAGCCACATGCCTGTAGATGAAAGCTGTTAAGGAAAAGAAGCCCAGGCCAGTGGAGAGGTCAGGGGGAGGTTAGAGTTTTAAATGGGGTGGTGGTGGGGACTTGTCAGGGAAGGCCTCCTTAGGAAAGTGACATTAGGAAAGAGACTTAAGGAGGTGGGGGGAGCCAGCGGTGGAGATTTGCTGGGGGAGCATGCTAGGCTGTGGGAACAGCCAGTGCAAAGGTCCTGAGGTGAAGGTGTGCCTGGGGGTAGGTATAGCAGATTTGGGGGAGATAAAGTTAGCAGGCACTGGGGCGCAGCGGGGGCCAGGGAGGGCTCTGAGCTGAGGGAAGGCTGCCGTGGTGCCATTCTAGACCTGGTCCTGGGCAAGCTGAGGGCTCTTGCCTTTGGTTTTCAGCTTTACCTGAGTTTTCTCTGTGAGTGGTACCCACCAACTCACATAGGCGCCCGGTGCCATTTTTCTTTTAGCAAGAATCAGCTGCCCGTGGGCTTCTACCGTCTGCAGCTACATTTCCTTTTTTTTTTTAAATTTTTATTTTTAATGTTTTTTATTTATTTCTGAGAGAGAGAGAGAGAGAGACAGACAGACAGACAGTGTGAGCAGCAGAGGGTCAGAGAGAGAAGGAGACCCAGAATCTGAAACAGGCTCCAGGCTCTGAGCTAGCTGTCAGCACAGAGCCCAAAGCGGGGCTCGAACCCACAAACCGTGAGATCATGATCTGAGCCGAAGTTGGATGCTTAACCGACTGAGCCACCCAGGCGCCCCTCCCCCCACAGCTACATTTCCATTTGATCTTTGGTGACGTGTCCCTCCAGGAGATGTGGCTGCACCAGGGGACTGCTGTCTGGCCCACGGTGACTATTGGGCGCTTAGGTCCCTGCCAGGCTGAGGGGTGCAGGCACGGGGTCTGCCACTTGGGCCAGTTTGGCCCTTCACGGATCTTGGAAGCGACAGCTGCTGATTTCCATTGCTTCTCTTTCGGTTCAGGACTAACATTGCTTTGTCTGGGTCAGCCTGGACGGGACGAGTCCTGGAGGCGCCTGGCGGAAGGTGACTGTCCCTGTGCCGCTGTGCATTGGTCAAATGACCTCACTTCTCCAGGCCTCACCTCCCTCATCTGGAAAATGGGGATCATGGTGTACCCTCTCTCCTGGGAGCGGGCCAAGGATCAGATGAGCTAATAAGCCTTGTGACATAGGGGATTTAAAGAGCTGAAATTCATGATTACTTTGCTAATATAAAAGCCACCTTATTTTAGC